ATAAAAAGGTGCGATTATATGTGTGTCGAATGTTGGCTTGCTTTTGAATTTCTAAAGGCCTCAACTACACGTTTCCTTTCGTGAAACCGCAGCAAATTACTAGTATTATATAACTTTAATCTCACATATGCTGCAGCTTGTGCACTTTTTAGCCATGCTGTCTGTTGCCCAGCCAGGCCATCACGAGAGACTTGATTAATTTTATTTGAGGTTGAGTTGAAACCTTACTTGATGCGACTTACGCAGTGCGACATTTGTCAAAAAACGAGGGCACGAAATTTTTGTCCGCAACTGCGTTGTCTTAAGTACATGTGTGAGGTGTGTCCTTTTCAATTCCTGTCTGCTTTGGCTTTGTAACCCTAGGTAGCATTTGCAGCCGTGCTGGCAACGAGCGCACATGGACTTGGATAATCTTAGTGGACACCTTCCCATGGTTCGTTCGCCGCCGATACGTACTCGTTTTTCAACGAACAATGCTTCCATTCCTTGCAATAATCATAAAATGTGCTTACTTATTCTCCCTACTTTGTTGTATCAATTTTTCTTGTTCACACTTCCATTTATGATTCTTTAGGTTTAGTGAAATTTTCCCTAAATTTCATCAAACCTCGAATAATTTCAGACATGATGGGATATCAGGACGAGCACAGAATAAGGTGATGGAAGTTAGCGAAAAGGCTGAAGCTAATGCCCGCAATTTGTAGGTTTATATTTGTGAATGGATAACCCTTCTTTTGAAATGAGGGCCTGGTTCAGTGTAATAATTTTTACAGATATCGATTTTTGAACTCTCTTCCGATTACGCCGATGCCATCACTTGAATGTGATAGGTGAGTGCAGACTGTCTTCATCTGTGGATATATTTGCCTTTTATCGTCGGAAGCTTTCTTTATGAAGTGATCACAGTCATATTCGAAAACAGGGATATAGTAACGTGAATGGATAACTCTGTGAATGCATGAATAGGCGAGGCATAGAAGTGGTTCAGTGCAGAATTCTGCTTTGCCCTGACCTTGGTAGGGTGGACCCGCAACATGTGATCTCTTCGCGCGCGACAGAAGACATGACATCGTAGCATTTTGTTTCTTCGTCTAAATTCAGTCAGTGCTGCTTTTACCAGGAAAACTGTTCACTATTCTGAACATTTCCTGTTCTACAATTTTACGCCCGTGAATTCCAAAGAGCTGCCAAAGCGGCTCAGGACTTTTGCGCCACGTATGGAATGCTAGCGGCTATACCCGCCCGGAAGTTGTCTGCGGGGTTTGGAGAATGGTGCGCGTGATTCTTACTACCCGCCTCACTGAAAAATTATGGTTTACGTTCTGTGAGTCTGAAGAATGTCATGCATCGGGAAACGCTATTTTTGTCAGCATAAAGACGCTACTATATACAGGGGGTCAAAAAGTCACTCCCCTCCACATTCAAAACGAATTATTACACGTTGCGAAACCAAACCAAATGAGCCCAACTGAATATTAAAGAGCACATTCTAATCTATCAAAATTACACAACAGCCTTCTACACCGACGACATCAGAAGATTTTCCCACGGAAACATACGGTACGAGCTCAACGAGGTCGTCGAGGTACCATAGACCATTACGACGTCCCTGAAACGCTGGTCAAAAGCGGTCTTGCATATTCACAGCTAATGTCTCTGGGAAGCTATTCACCAGTTAATCGATTGAAGAAATTATGTAGCAGCTTCAGGCCGGAGCGATTACGGTAAGCCTCGTTGAGCTCGACGGTGACGGCAGATGACGTCATATTCTGAAGACGGTGGGGGCAGTGAAGGAGGGCCTGCTTCTGCTTATGGGGGACACCTAAGGAATATTCGCCGTAAATTCATTAACAGCGGCATCCTGTGCGACGAAAAGTTTGATGATGTGCGCCATGGCAAAGTGACTTTTTTTTGCCCCCCCCCCCCTGTATATCATGTACCGTACTGTGTATTATTCACGCAGGTCTTCTTTTTATGTGCCCCTATAGCATGCAGTAACTGTCGCGAAAAAGGTTCCCTTGCATTGGTCGGCTATATCTGAGCTGCGAACTCAATAAAAGATGTGCTCTATCGTTGCCTATTGCGACGACAACTGCCTGAATATGACGTAAGGAAATGCTAGGTCATGAACTCTTTTTTTCTGCTTTCAGTCCTTAATTGGACTGGCAATTACTTGTTATTTCTATTTCTTTTTTTTAGTGAACCATCCAGAGATTGGAACACCGATTGTGGCCTTTTCGACGGTCGTGGACCACCTCCACATTATGGCTCTCGTCTCGTCACAAATACGGTCCAGCCGTCTGCACGTCGATGTAATTTCAAGAAGACTGGTTCTGAATCATACTCTCGTCACAAACTCCAATCCTTCCCAATCAACGTATGTGTTGGAACAAACCTTTAACTCAACTATTCACTAGCAGTTCATGGGCCGGGTGCAGCAAACCCCGCCCGGGGATGGGTCTTCGACGTGAGGGGTACATCCTTGACCGCTGGGACATACTCCAACGGGATATGTTTCCTTAGTCGAGACTCAGGTCACGTCGCAGACCCATTGAGAAGAGATTTGTCTGTGACGAAACTCTTGTGCGGTCCCTTACCGCATGTCGGGGATGGGGATATGTCCCCGAGGTTGGGGATGTATCCGCAGCGTCGGGAAACCAATCCCGACAGGAGTGAGGGGACCATCCCTGCTGGCTTGCTGCACCTGGCCCCATGTCCTGTAACATCCCACTTCTTAGACAGCATGTTAAAGCTAAAACCAGGAATATGTCTGACAGAAGTCATGGTTAGGTTGGAGTGGAGGATCCGAGAACACGCTTGAGTTCTATTCAACTGCGTTGGCAGCAGGTGGTCACTCGTGGTCAGATCGCATTTCAGCATTCGCCGATACGACATACTCAAGTGAGTAGCGATTTTCTAGGTTTACCTTATTGAGACATTGAGTAATTGAATTTTGAATGGCGGTTGATTCCTCGAAAATTGTCAACTGTTAAGCCAGAAAAATTCCCTTCGAAGATTTTACTAGTGATCAGTTCTCGTAGAAATTCGTGCTGTCGTCCTTATTCTGCATACTATTTCGAACTTTCGAGTTGAACTTCCGTTGGCACTATCTAAATTCTACGGGGTTTCTACGGGAACTTTGAAATTCAATAACCGCGTTCTAACTCTTGACAAAATTGTGGTGTTCAGGACCTGTAGTAATGTCACATTTGAATCATTTTGTCCGTGCTCGTACGTCGTTCTCTCCTACTATTCGCCGTCCAAACCGCCGTCCATGTAACACTCAGGCACATAAGCCCACCAACATTACTAACAACGCAAACAAGGATTTAAGTGACAATGTTGCCCTTTTAGTTTCTCAGTTCCAGCTTTTTTAAACACTCAGTTCTATTTATCTGTGCTTCATTCCTGAAGTTCCGCCTATCT